TGTGTGTGTGTGTTTGCGTGTGTGTGTGTGTTGTGCGTGGTTGTGTGTGTGTGCGTGTGTGTTTGTGCATGTGTGCGTCGTTGTGTGCGTGTGTGTGTGTGCTGTCCCGTGTGTGTGTGTGTGTGTGTGTGCTGTGTGTGTGTGTGTGTGTGTGTGTGTTGTAGGCTGAGTGTGTGTGTGGCCGCTCTGTGTGTGTGTGTGTGTGTGTGTGTGTGTGCGTGTGTGTGCGTGTGTTGTGCGTGGTGCTGCGTTGTGTCAGTGCGTGACTTCAGGGTGTGTGTTCGCGAGGACGGAGGCGTCTGAGCGCTGCAGACTGAAAGGAGACGTGTTGCTGCGAGCGGACGTAGACGCTCTTCACCTGCTGGACAAGAGCGAGACGTCGTGTTCACCTGGCCGTACAGATACCTGAGGCGCTTCGGACGAGACAAGGTGCACAACAACAACGCAACCGCAAAAAACACACATGCACCACACACACACACACACACACGCACAAAACACGCACACACACACACGCACACACACACACGCACAAACACACGCACCACCACACACACACACACACACACCCTCCCTCTGACCTGTTTCCTGTCTTCAGTCCACCTTCTCCTTCGAGCGGGGCGAGTGTGAGTCTGGCGAGGGGAGTTTTGAGTTCGACACCAAACAGGGGAACTTCCTGTTTCAGGCCGTGGAGGCGGCCATTCAACCTGCAGAGGATCTCCCTCCCCCACAGGCAGACCTCCGGGGGGGGCTGGCAAGTCCAGACATCCCCCAGGCCCTGAACCTGCCCCCGCTGCCTCTCAACACGCCGCTGGCCACAGCCAGGACGCCACCGCCGCCTCAGCCCCGAGGCCATATCCCACAACCCCTTCTGCTCAGGTCAGCTGACATTACAGGTCATCTGTACTTGGTTTCAAAATAAAGCAGGGCAGACAGAATGCAGTCGACAGTTTTCAGAATAAAGTTTCGAACATAAAGGCAGAACTTTCAGAATAAAAGCAGGATTGTCAGAATAAACGATTTAAAAACAAATGAAGATTCGAAGGTTTCTCATTGGTCATGTTCTTGTTGGCTGTGATGAGCTGTCAGAAACCAGCTGATGCCAGATATGATGTTGTAGCTGATCACTGTTTCCTGTGCGCAGGCAGCTGACGGGGTGTACAGCATGGTGACCGAACATCACAAAGACAAAGAGAGCTCCACCCCCTCACAGCAACAAACAACTACAACCACAGCGCCCCGCTGGTAGGACTCAGCTTTTCTACTGTACTGCAGAGGTTCTCGGTTCTCTGAGGGAACCCCAGTTCTGGTGCTGAAGTGTTTGTGACTCCAGCACGTCTCTGTTAGCAGCTGTTTGAGTCTGCAGGGACTGTATGTGGAAGTGTGCGGGTGCGTTTGTTTGTCTCACTCGTCTGTCAGGTTTAGTCTGGACCGAACCCTCTGAGGTCAAAGGTACTTGCATGTGACATCATACCCAATGTGTTTTACATCACAGTTTTCAGAACGATCTCAGATCTTCTTAATGAGCGCCTGTGTAAACAGGTGATCAACAGGTCATCAGGTCCTTTGATCCAAATGCTGAAAATTTGAAGCCTGTTTTTTTTAAATTCTTCAAACCTTGACTGATGCGAGGAATTGAAACGTGTTCACCAAAGTCTTAGTTCAATAAATAATGCAACATGTGAGTAAATAGTAATTAAATGTGTAATAAATGCCGAGTGATTGATTTCATTCATCAGGATCCTCTATCTTCATCAGGACAGAGGCTCCTCCTCCTAAACAGGCTCAGCTCACTAACACAAACAAATAAACAACATAAACACTCAGACATCATTTTATATTTTACTATAATGATAAACAGTCAGTTACTGCGGCATTAACACGTGATGATGTCATAGCTGATACCATAGTATAGTGTAGTATTAGTATAGTTATAAGTTTCCTGGTTGGTCAGACCACAGCTCCATCTGCTGGACGCTGTCAGCTGTTACAGTGATGTGAACACAGGGACTGATATGACTGATAAAGGTTATTGATCACTGATCGCTCTCCTGTTTGTGTTTTTCAGTCTCGTCTGGAGCCTCCAGTCGACAAAGCTCTGACCGGAGTGAAGAGTCTGACCTGGACACCCGCGGCGTCCCCGCCCCCCCGCAAGAACCAGGTCAAGATGATCTCCAGCTGCCCTCTGCCCCACGCCAACCCGGCCCTCAACCCGGCCCCGGGCCCCGCTCCGCCCCCACCCACAACTCCCGCCTCAGCCCAAACTGAGCTCCAACCAATGTACTCCCAGATCACGCTGCCGGGGAGTTGCGAGCGAGCCACCTGAGGGAGAGGAGGGAGAGGAACAAGCCTGGCTCCCCCCTGCACCCCTCCTCAGATCACCCCCCGGAGCCGGAGTACTCCCTCCCTTTTGATACCATCAATAAGAACATTGATGGCGGACATACCTGAGCTCGCCATCCTGCCCGAGGCTGTGAGTCCAGTGGCGACCCGCTCTACGACAGCATATCGACGAGTGAAGAATCAGAAACGTCTTCCCCTCGAGCGACGCCGACGCCCCTCGGACCAACGTACGGGAAGGTGGAGCACATCTAACGACGAAGCCTGAAGGCTGCGCCGCCACCGCCGGCGCCTCTGGAGGGCAGAAGTCCACCGGCCCCCCCTCAGTGTACGACGACCCCGAGGAAATGAGAGGAGACGCCTGGAGGATCATGGGTACGGCCGCTGACCCCAAAGGTCACGAGTACCCATACAACCCCCGGGTGGGACGACTACGCCGTGCCAAACGACCCCGAGAGGCGATCCACGTCACCAATGAAGAAGAAGAAGAAGACAACGAGGACAGCAGCAGTGAGGAAGAGGAGGAGAGAGAGGAGGAAGAGGAGGAGCGGAGGGATTCACCGTACAACAACGTCATGGTGAAGATGATGTAACGACAGCACATGACTGATCAATATTAATCCAATAATCAATGATGGAGGTTCAGACTCTGTCATGAAGCATCGGTCGATTTCAGAGCTGCAAAACATTTATCTGTCACTTCAAAATTTCATTATTCAGAACATTCTTCTCTTTTTGCTGACTCGTATATTTGACTGTAAATCTGAAAATGATTCCCTCTGAGGAATGAACAGATGGTTTCACTTTCTACGTCTTTACACTTCTGCTGCACATGTTCTCCTTTTACTGCTGCACATTTATTCTATTGAAGATTTTACTCTAATAAAAAGATCAAGTTATAATTATAAACACACTGATGGAACCTGTTCCCCACCCTCTTGTTTTGAGAATGCATGTGTGTGTGTGTGTGTGTGTGTGTGTCTGTGTGTGTGTGTGTGTGTGTGTCGCAGCAGATGAATGTGTCATTTTAGCCGCAGGCTGCTAAATTTAACTGCGATAGGAAAAGAGTGAGAAAGAGGAAGTGAGGTTTGGTTGAAGGTGCGACAGAGGAAGTTCTGACTGAAAGCTGCTGCAGGAGTTCAGTCACAGGTCTGAGTCTGAAGAGCTCTGGACCTACAGAGACTTTTAAGACTGTGTGTCACAAGAGCTTTTAAAGAGTTTTGTCTCTGATCACGTCTGAACACACAGATCAACACCGAGGGTTTAAATGTCTTTTCTTATTCTAATTATTTATTTACTGATTGTTATTATTTTTATTCTTCCATCTCATTTTACATGAACGTTTTTAATGTTTTTCATTTTGCATCAATGTTTTATGTTCATTTTATGTCTCTTCATGTGAAGCACTTAGAGCTTAATTTCTTATATGAAATGTGCTGTACAAAATAAAGCTTATTATGATTGTTATTATTATTATTAAGAGACTGGTCCAGATGTTCTGCAGCTGGTGACCTGTCAGTCAGGAGGGACATGTTGTTGGGCCTCAGAGAACAGACAGTCTGGACCATTTAGTTTTCTATATTTCCAGGTTTTAACCAGAGGAAACACTTCGACTGTCACCTGACAAACAGCTCAGTGAGGCCGAGCTGGACTCTGTGGACCAGCTGTCTCTCCCTCAGAGGTCCAGGTTTGGCTCAAAATAAGAACCTTTATCGTCATGGTGACAACAGTAAACACAGAGTTGAGGTCGTAGAACGGTCAGCTGACTATCAGTTCCACACCAGAAACAAACAGCGGTTTCGTGCTTCGTGGACACTGTCATCCGTCTACCTCAGCTTCCTCTAACGTGGAGTTTGTCGTCCTCTGTACTACGTCACCTGACTTCCTCTTTACTCCCGTCATGATCACTACGGCCACTAGAGGTCGCCTCACAGGCCTTCCTCTGAGTGGAGGTTTCACCACGATACAGGGTCTGTCGCTGGCCCCCAACTGACAGTCCTGATCCTTTAAGTCCACGTCCATGTGACAGGAAGTAGAACCACTAGCTTGAAGCAGACAGGAGTGATGGTACACGGGGTGGAGGTACCAGCATCCAGGACCACAGTCCAGGACCAGTGACAACCACAAGCTGGGCGTAGTCAGCCAGTTCCAATACCTGGGTCCAGGTGCACAAAACACGTTAAGCTTTTTACTCAAGTATTACCTTACTTACTTGGTCATGCTGCAGTTAAGACAGAGTCAGAGGAACCTTTTGCTTTTTCCCTTTCTCTGGTAGCTAAGGTCTTTTACGGTTCAACTGACTTTAAGTGATTCCTTAACTATATGACCAAGATAAGGAGAAAAGCTTAAATACTTAAGTGGGCATTTTACAGAAACCTTAACTCAGACTTTAAGGAAAATCTTAAGGTGTTTTGTGAAACTGGCCCCTGGGCTCCACCTTTTAGGACCGATGACAATGAATACATTAAAGTTTATGACGTCTGTTGTCGTGAACAGGATGTGAACTGTGATGCGTTCACTGACCAGCACAGTGGTAAAGTGGAGCTGGTTGGAGATGACAGTTTCACACTGACTTGTAGAAGAAGAGAGAACAGATGATGCTCTCGTGCTCATACAGGTAGATAGACGGGTAAGACATGTAGACAGGTGAAGATGTGTACCTGTCTCTCTGCCGCTGTACAGGGAGTTGTCCTCCATTCGTTCATCTTCGTCCACCCGGTTTCCTCTCTGCAGGCTGCCTCGCTTCACCCCGTGCTCCGTCCAGCTCATCTGCACAGTCAGGACAAACTGCATTAGAGCTGCAACTAACCACCATCACCTTTAATAACCACCACCATCCTTACTAACCTCCATCATTATTACTAACCACCGACATCATTACTAACCCCCATCCCCTTTAATACCCTCCACCATCCTTACTAACCACCATCGCCATCCTTACTAACCACCATCGCCATCCTTACTAACCACCATCGCCATCCTTACTAACCACCATCGCCATCCTTACTAACCACCATCGCCATCCTTACTAACCACCATCGCCATCCTTACTAACCACCATCGCCATCCTTACTAACCACCATCGCCATCCTTACTAACCACCATCGCCATCCTTACTAACCACCATCGCCATCCTTACTAACCACCATCGCCATCCTTACTAACCACCATCGCCATCCTTACTAACCACCATCGCCATCCTTACTAACCACCATCGCCATCCTTACTAACCACCATCGCCATCCTTACTAACCACCATCGCCATCCTTACTAACCACCATCGCCATCCTTACTAACCACCATCGCCATCCTTACTAACCACCATCGCCATCCTTACTAACCACCATCGCCATCCTTACTAACCACCATCGCCATCCTTACTAACCACCATCGCCATCCTTACTAACCACCATCGCCATCCTTACTAACCACCATCGCCATCCTTACTAACCACCATCGCCATCCTTACTAACCACCATCGCCATCCTTACTAACCACCATCGCCATCCTTACTAACCACCATCGCCATCCTTACTAACCACCATCGCCATCCTTACTAACCACCATCGCCATCCTTACTAACCACCATCGCCATCCTTACTAACCACCATCGCCATCCTTACTAACCACCATCGCCATCCTTACTAACCACCATCGCCATCCTTACTAACCACCATCGCCATCCTTACTAACCACCATCGCCATCCTTACTAACCACCATCATTATTACTAACCACCGACATCATTACTAACCACCATCACCATCATTACTAACCATCATCATTATTAACCACCATCATCATTACTAACCATCACCATTATTAACCACCATCATCATTACTAACATCATCATCATTACTAACCACCACCATCACCTTTACTAACCACCATCATCATTACTAACCACCACCATCATTACTAACCACCATCATAATTACTAACCACCATCACCATCATTATTAACCATCACCATCATAATTACTAACCACCATCACCATCATTATCAACCATCACCATCATCATTTCTAACCATCATCAACAGAAGTTCAGATCTGACCTTCTGGTGTTACATCACCAACCTCCACCTGAAACAGCAGGAGGCTCCTGACACATTTCAGATTGTAGGAAACGTCCAGATGAGGTTTGGACAAACAGTTTTTAACAGTCTACGTTATTCTCAGGCCTTCAAAATAAAAGCCTGTGTTCCTCTGGTTGTTTGAGACACCAGTCAGACAGACGCTGCCTTGTGATTGGCTGTTGTTGTGTATTTCCTGTCAAACTCAGACAGAAAGAGGAAGTAGAGCTGTGACTCAGGACTGTCAGATGTCTGTCATCACCCTGCTATTTATAACCACACACAACATTTAACATCAAACCAAGAGAGGGAACATTTACATTTCATTCATGTTTGATCATTTTTAAGTTGATTTCCTGTTTATGTCACATGTTAAATGTGTTGTCGTGTTTTTATTAACTATTGCTTCTTTATACAGATCCTCATTCATCAGTTTCCTCTTCTTCTGCTGTCGGAGCTTCAGGTGTGAATGAGTCTGTGACAACCACCGTCTCAGCAACAAGGTCTACATGTTCCCACAGCAGAGCCATCACGAACCATCGGGAACTTCTAACCATCTTTTACAATTACTTTCATTAATTAGTTACTTTTTCAAAAGTCTTGACAGAGCCAGAACAAACCAGACCAAACCCTTTGTGTACTTACAGCCCATTTTACACATTTACGTGCTGCTGTAAAAACGGTGGTGTCACTGTCCACTCCCAGTCATGGACTGGTTCTGTGACCTTGACCTTTGACCTTTAGCCACTAAAATCTAATCAGTCCATCCTTGAGTCCTCGTGAACATTTTTACCAAATGTGAAGAAGTTCCATCAAGGTGTTACTGAGATACAACGCATGACACTACGACATCCTGACATCACACCTTCATTCACACTGCTATCACCCCACACCCGACCATGTGACCTGACCACTGTCACGTGACCTCACTAACGTCATGTGTAGTCAAGACGCCTTTTCAACCAGTTTTAGTTTGAACGTTGTAGTGAGGACATGTCTGCTACTCACTGATTCACAGGTTGAACTTCAGATCGTGTGTGTGTGTGTGTGTGTGTGTGTGTGTGTGTGTGTGTGTGTGTGTGTGTGTGTACCTACAGGGAAGGCGATCTCACACAGTTTGTGAGTCCAGTCCTCCACCTGGTGTCTGTCTGCAGCAAACACGTAGATCTTCTCAGTGGTCTCCACCAGGAACGGTCCTGTGTCTCTGGGACATCCGTCCATCTCCACCTCCGACACCCGGATACAGTCCGCCAGACGGATCACCTAGGAGATGTTGATAGGATGTTATCACCTAGGTAACAGACTACAAAACTGAACTTGTAGTCTTCCTGATAGATTAGGACGGAGCAGGTCAGGGGAGTCAAACCGGTGCAGAGGACTACAGTAGAAGATGAAGACTAGAGTACAATAGAATAGAGAATGGGGTGGAGTCGAGTAGTAGAGTAAAGCACAGGATGTAGTGAAGTAGAATACAGTGGAGAAGAACAGTGCAATGTAGCCAGTAAAGTTAAGTAGAGAGCAATAAAGTACAAGGTAAAGTACAGTAGAGAAGAGCAGAGTACAACAGAATACAGTGGAATAGAATGGAATATAATATAGAATAGAATGTAATAGAAGAAGAACAGGGTAGAGATAGAGCTGAGCAGGGTTCCAGAGAATAGAGTACAGTATTGTAGAGCAGAATACAGTAGAGTTGACTGAAGTAAAATTCAAACAGGGTAAAGTAAAATATAAAAGAGTAAAGTAGAGTAGAGTACAGTAGAGTAGAATAGTGGATTAGTCAGAGCAGCAGGTCTGAACCGGACTCTCTATAATGTTCACTTCAGTTCAACAAGAACACAGTAGAGCTGGGTTCAGTAGAGTAGAGTAGAATACAGTAAAGTTCAGAGAAACACAGCACAGTGTAAGACAACAGGAAGTAGAATGAAGTGGAGTCCAGTAAAATACAGTAGAACAAGATAAAGTAGAGTAGAATGTGATACTGTAGAATATAGTACAATAGAGTGGAATAGGATGAGGTAGAATAGAGTCCTGTAGAGTGGAGTAGAGTGCAGTAGAGTGCAGTTAAGTCCAATAGAGTGGAGTAGAGTGGAGTAGAGTGGAGTAGAGTGCAGTTAAGTCCAGTAGAGTGGAGTAGAGTGGAATAGAGTGGAGTAGAGTCCAGTAGAGTCCAGTAGAGTCCAGTAGAGTGGAGTAGAGTGCAGTAGAGTGGAGTAGAGTGGAGTAGAGTCCAGTAGAGTCCAGTAGAGTATTGTACAGTCCAGTAGAGCGCAGTAGAGTATTGTAGAGCGCAGTAGAGTGCAGTAAAGTGCAGTAGAGTCCAGTAGAGTGCAGTAAAGTGCAGTACAGTCCAGTAGAGTCCAGTACAGTGCAATAAAGTGCAGTACAGTCCAGTAGAGTCCAGTAGAGTGCAGTAGAGTCCAGTAGAGTGCAGCAGAGTGCAGTAGAGTCTAGTAGAGCCCAGTAGAGTCCAGTAGAGTGCAGTAGAGTGCAGTAGAGTCCAGTAGAGTCTAGTAGAGTGCAGTAGAGTCCAGTAGAGTCTAGTAGAGTGCAGTAAAGTCTAGTAGAGTCTAGTAGAGTGCAGTAGAGTCCAGTAGAGTCCAGTAGAGTGAAGTAGATTCCAGTAGAGTCTAGTAGAGTGCAGTAGAGTCCAGTAGAATGCAGCAGAGTGCAGTAGAGTCCAGTAGAGTCCAGTATAGTCCAGTAGAGTGCAGTACAGTCCAGTAGAGTCTAGTAGAGTGCAGTAGAGTCTAGTAGAGTGCAGTAGAGTCCAGTAGAGTGCAACAGAGTGCAGTAGAGTCCAGTAGAGTCCAGTAGAGTCTAGTAGAGTCCAGTAGAGTCCAGTAGAGTCTAGTAGAGTGCAGTAGAGTCCAGTAGAGTCCAGTAGAGTGCAGTAGAGTCCAGTAGAGTGCAGCAGAGTGCAGTAGAGTCCAGTAGAGTCTAGTAGAGTCCAGTAGAGTCCAGTAGAGTCTAGTAGAGTGCAGTAGAGTCCACTAGAGTCCAGTAGAGTGCAGCAGAGTCCAGTAGAGTGCAGCAGAGTGCAGTAGAGTCCAGTAGAGTCCAGTAGAGTGCAGTAGAGTCCAGTAGAGTGCAGTAGAGTGCAGTAAAGTGCAGTAGAGTCCAGTAGAGTCCAGTAGAGTCCAGTAGAGTGCAGTAGAGTCCAGTAGAGTGCAGCAGAGTGCAGTAGAGTCCAGTAGAGTCCAGTAGAGTCTATTAGAGTGCAGTAGAGTCCACTAGAGTCCAGTAGAGTGCAGTAAAGTGCAGTAGAGTCCAGTAGAGTCCAGTAGAGTGCAGTAAAGTGCAGCAGAGTGCAGTAGAGTCCAGTAGAGTCTATTAGAGTGCAGTAGAGTCCACTAGAGTCCAGTAGAGTGCAGCAGAGTCCAGTAGAGTGCAGTAGAGTCCAGTAGAGTGCAGTAGAGTGCAGTAAAGTGCAGTAGAGTCCAGTAGAGTCCAGTAGAGTCTAGTAGAGTGCAGTAGAGTCCAGTAGAGTGCAGCAGAGTGCAGTAGAGTCCAGTAGAGTCCAGTAGAGTCTATTAGAGTGCAGTAGAGTCCACTAGAGTCCAGTAGAGTGCAGTAAAGTGCAGTAGAGTCCAGTAGAGTCTAGTAGAGTCTAGTAGAGTGCAGTAGAGTCCAGTAGAATGCACTGTACCTTCTTGTGTTCCTGCTGTTTGCGCAGACTCTTGTCACTCTTCTCCACCGTCCCTCCATCTTTACACTCAAAGAACTCCAGCCTGGAGATCGAACAGGAGCTTTCTCTGTACAGGACGCACCACACACGCTTCCACTTCTACACACACACACAGAAAACAGAGGTGGAAACACTGGTCTGAGAACAGTAATAAAGTCACAGAAGTTGCTGCTGTTGAATCAGAGATAAACTCACATGGACAAGATGGCTGACACTGTTACTCCTGCTATATAAGTTCACTGCTGTTGTTTCCGGGGTTAAAGTGGGAGGTGGGGGAGCCCTAAGATCCAGGGGGGAGTGGTCTGCCTGAACAATCTGATATCTGGAGCAGCAGCTTGGCTGTTCACACCAGGGGCCGGTTTTACAAAGATATTTTAGGCCACATCCACACGGCTACGCTTTTGTTTTAAAACTGGTCTTTTGCGCTTTCGAGGACCGGAAAGAGACTTTTGGAAAACGCTGCTAGGTGCGTTTTATTCTGAAAACACAGGTCATGTTTTATTTTATTTTGAAAACTCTGGGGTTGTGTTTTATTTTGAAAACTCCGGGGTTGTGTTGTAGTTTGGACGGACAGAAACTGAGAACTTTGGAAACGATAAGGTCACAGTCACGGCCTCTCCTGATTGGCTCTTCTTTAAATTGAAAAAAGTCATAATTTACCCAGAAGTCATTGCTCCACTGTCCATCTTAAGATAGTGAAAAACTGTGAAAGTCTCTCAGTGAAACACATTTCACCACGATGATCTACAAACAAACTGATTTCTGATCTTTATGATAAAAACCTGTTTATGTTCCTGGATCAGCAGAGGGAGGGGCTTCTCTCTCGTGTGTGTGTGTGTGTGTGTGTGTCGCCCTGCTTGTTCTTGTTGCTGTACATAACGTTATGTGTAGTGTTAACGTTAGCTCTGTTGCTAGCTGTGCTGTTAGCAGTGTGTGTCAGTGTTACATTTTGTACCTTCCCAAACCTCTGCTGCTGGAGGTAGAGCATCCCCTGTTTCCTGATGTCCTCCTCCATGACACTTGTGCAGGTCCTCCTCCTCCTTTCCTCACCTCTTCTTTCTTCTCCTCCCCTCTTGCTCCACTATTCTCGACGTTTCCTCTCTCGCCTCCTTCTTTTTCTTCTCTGACTTTCTGCTTCCTCCTCTGCTCTCCTCTTCTTGTCATCCACTTTCTTCTCCTTTCAGTCTCCTCCTCCGCCACACCTCCTTTTTTCTTGTGTGTTGAGTTTGAATCTTTTTGTTGCTCTTCTTTTTTAAAGGGCTTCAAACTTCAGCCTCTCCTTTATCTCGTCTTCATCCTTCTCCACCTCCTCTCGTCTCCTTTTGTTTCTTCTCTCTTCTGTTTTCTTGGTTTACTTGCTCAACTCTTTCCAGCCTCTCTTCTCTGCTGTGGTGCACCTCCTCTCTTCTCTGCTCTCTGTCTGTCTGTGGTATCAGTGTGATGCAGACGAGCGTCGAGTGTGTCATCTGTTTCCTGCCCTCACACTCTGTTGCAACATGTAATGCAGAAGTAACCGGCCGTGTGAAACTCCTCAGAGTCGTTCCCTCCCCCTCGTTCACAATTTCATTTACATCCATCTTCTTCTCTCTTTACGTCTCATCACGCCATCGTCTCTTTTTATTTTTCACCTTTGTCTCGACTCACACCTGCTCCTTCGTGTGTTGATGTAGATCTTCATAAAAACATCATCAGGTGTCACGCGCCCCCTGGTGGTCATGTTGGAGACTCTCAGTCTGTTTCTGACTATAAACCGGTGGAAGACGTGTTCAAGTACCACACAGTAAAAACTAGACTCACCTCCAGTCACATCCCTGTTCATCCAGAGCCATAAAACAGGAACCATTCGTGTGAAATTTTGTCATAATTGCTGTGAAGTCTTGATTTATGGCTAAAAAGTGTTTTGTGAGGTCACGCTGATCTTGACCTTTGACCTTTGACCTTGAGCCACAAAATCATCGTCATCTTCATCCTTGAGTCCAATTGAATGTTTGCACCACATCTGAAGAAGTTCCGTCAAGGCATTACTGAGATATATAACAACCTGAAAACAAAATGGCTGCCGCTCTGACTGTCACACAGAGAAATAAAAAAACACCATAACAAGTAAACGTCGGTGCAGGCTGTTACAGCAGGTTACAGTTGATGTGTGGCTGTTACACCATAACTTACCAAACACAGGTTGAGCGCCACAGTTGTTGCATCCACCTTGTACTTCACCGCCCTCTTGTGGTGGCAGCAGGTCTCATCTCCAGTAGGTTGTAGAAGTGCAGAACCAGAGGCTGCTGTTTCAGGACCCTAAGAACCAGGACAACAAGCCAAGTGTGAGTATGACAGCTCTTATAAATATATGAACCCAACTACTAACTTTAATGTTTGAGCCATGTTCCATATTTATTAAAACAAAATCATATATTGTTCTTGATAATACACAGCTGTGGTCCTGAAACCGCAGCCCTCTGCAGGCTGCTGCAGGACTGATATTACCTGATCCTATATGTGCAACATTAAACTACTTCTAGCGGCGCGGAGATTCATATTAAATTGGTATTAATGTTGTGAGTAATGAAGGGTCAGGAAAAGACAGATGTCAATCACACATTATTTCTGTTTCCTCTCTCCTGTCTGTCCTCCACCTGTCAGTGGGTCGTTCACTTTCCTTGTTATTGTTTATTATCGTGTCAGAAAGAAATATATACAGTCAATCATCCTGAATCCGTCCTGGTGCCTTTCAACTATGTGGTCGAGATCTAGTGACTGCAAAGGCCATAGCATATGATTCCATCTTTATTTTTATCTGATAATTACCTAATTATGCTAATTGCACAAACTACACTACATACAAGCTCTTACCATATGAAGAGTAAGTCAAAGATGAAGGATCTATTCACAACATTAAACACACCTGTAGAAAACATTTATTTACAATGAGGCAACACAAAACACACCATGTCTAATCCACTAAGTATAAAAGGTGTGTGTGTGTGTGTGTGTGTGTGTGTGTGTGTGTCTGTGTGTAGGGGAAACAAACAAAGGCAAAATGGCTGATTCAAAATGGTGGAAGACTAGGAACAAAGTGGCAGTAAACAAAAGAAAGCATTCAAGATGGCCGCTGAGACAACATGGCGTGTGGGTGCAGGAAGCTCATGTAGGTTAAAAGTTAGCTGCAGGTCCTTGTACTGGGATGTACGACAGGTATGTGTGTGGACACACCTGCTGTCATGATCACTGCGTCAAGTCTTGAGTTAGTGTTTTCTGAGGTCATACTGACCTTTGACCTTCGACCACTTTCTCCATGAGGATCAAAAGCAGAGTTCCTGCAGCATATGGGTCACTAACACATGAATGTTATTTATAAAGTCAAATAGATGATAAAAGCAGGGTGTGCTTTAGGGCGTGGCTACCATGATCTGCCAACCAATCAGGACAAAGGATAGAGTGAGTCACAGATTTGAGATGTTATTCAGTCAGAGGTTTTCACCAGCTGAAGTTAGCATCCCTATTACACAGTGACAGTGTGAGTTATGGATGTCAGGAAACAGGCAGAACACAGCAAACTGTCATTTATTGATCTTAAATCTCAAAACATTCAGTAACTGTACAGCCAGTCGACACACCAATCTTCAGTGAGTCACAGCAGGACAGAGTCTCGTTTCCAGAACATGAACACAGATTCATATCTGGAGAGTTTGAAGGTTTTTACCAAAAGTTTTAAGGTAAAACTAAAGAACGAAAGAAGTTTCCTCTTCACGTTAGGTCCAGCTGTGATGACAGGTATGGATCCACCTCACACAGAACATCAATCAGAGCTGAACTGGCTGCCGGTCCTTTTCTTCGCACCATGTCGATCACCTCTCGAGCTTTCTCTTTCCTGCTCGGTGTCGCGGCAACAGACTCCATTTCACCGCCAGTTAACACCTCGCGGTCCAGGAGTTTATCCAGCAGCTCACGAAGAACAGGTCCTGACACCCTGTCGATGAACTGAGTCCGAACAGACTTCAGCTTCTCTTCTGCTGAGACACTCGGAGTCCCTGCTGAGACACTCGGAGTCCCTGCTGGACCAGGACCTGGAAGATGAACTAGAAACATACTTGTGTTCAATAAGCACATCTCTAGTGTATAAGCAAATTAAATCACTGATGATAAATGTTGCTGATCTGAGAATTGAGCCTTATAAACACAGCTAATGAAATGTGGAGGTAACCAGTCAGCAGTCCACAGCGATCACACCAGGTCGACCGTCACTCTGTAAAATCCATCAAACACCGTTTCTGAGTATCTTCAGTGTCAACTCTGATCTAACGTGACCAGCACAGACACGGGACAGTGACATGTGACATGTGACCGTGTGACAGGCTGACCAGTTAAAACCACATGAACAAGATGTGGAGAAAGAAAGAGTCTGAGAAACAACTGGAGGAGAAGTGACTGTCACACAGATTTACAGTCCTTATTCTTCACAAAGCGCCTCAGTCCTACTTTTCTCACTGGCTGGATACACTGGCCAGTAAGACCCTTTAAAGCTGGTTCAAGTGACTGTAGAATAAAAGATGATCCGAGGCTTTACCTGGCAGGTGAACCTCACACTCCCAGACAGCTGTCTCCGCCTGGTCTCGGACCGCGACAGTGGTTTCCTCTATGTTTGCAGGCAGGATGATCTCAAACGTTGGGGGATAATTTGGTCCAAAGTCCAGGTCAAAGTCATCTTTCTGAAAACCAGCAGCACCAGGGTCAGTGTCTTGAAGTAACCGACATCAGCTTCACTCTGAAACACTCACCTGAGGCTGGACTTTATGGGCCTTCGGACAGTGAACGGTGTAAGTTTGATTTTTGATGAGTGTACACTTGGAAGGCTTCCGGATGAGCACACAATCTTCCTGCTTTGCCTTCACCTTGAGAACAATCAGAACATTTCATTAGAGGGTTCGTCCTCAGCAGAGCCTGATAAAACAGGTCAGCTTCACCGGGCTGGACGAACAGGACGGTGAGGACGAGGAAAAAGACAGACCTACGATGATCTGTCCCTCTGAGTGACTTTCAGAGCTCCATGCTATTTCCTGTTTTATTTTGAAATTGTTTTTGTTGTTTGATGTCTAACAAACTACGACCACATCCTGTCCTGGCCACACCCACACACGACTGTGTTGTTTGTCCAACATTTGTCCATCTCTCATTTCCGTTTTGTCCAGCTTCAAAAATAAAACTAGAATCTCCTCCTAAACATTTGTCACAGTGTTTCGTGAGTTCACACTGACCTTTGACCTTTGACCTTTGACCACCTAAATCTAATCGGTTCATCTTTGAGTCCAACGTTTCTCATTCTGCGTTCTTCTGTGTTCTTGTGGAACGTCATCAGTACAGTACAGATCACATATCTGAAGTTTTATCCCGGACGCATCGCTACGTGACTTGTGTGGACTTGAGACAGCTAACTATCCCAGAATGCATTTCACCAAGACTGTGAGCCAGACTCAAAGCTGAAACTAATTTCACTCTACGACTGTAATTATATCACTTCATTAAGTTTTCATGTTTTTCCGTTACGACTTCAAATATGAGTCAGTTTATCCAGATCACGCCTGTTTGGAAAGTTGCTCCGGCGTTTTGGCAGATGTGAGAACCGTCCTGCCGGGAGAGAGCGTCAGAGAGCGCCGTCGCCCCGGTACAAAAACATGAAACTTGATCCGAGGTGAAATATAATATTTGTTGCTGCTCGTTAGTCTGAGAAGAAGAAGCTACACAGCTCTGCCTCTCTGAGCCTCTGTGTCAAATACACCAACACACTCCAATAAAATCAATATATAGAAATGAAGAGGGGAGATCTGAGTGGAGATGAGTGCGTCACACTTCAGTCAGGTACAGGTGTGTTGAAGTGTCACCTGAGCTGAGTGCTGATATCAGGAAGAAGGCTCCTGTCCTCCGGAGTCCGGACTTCTGAGTTCAACTTGTGAAGGTCAAACTCCGAAGTACAGGAGTCGGACCCTGTGCACTCTGCACTGAGAAACAGCTCAGGTCAATGTTTGAGGTTCCGTCAAGGTGTTAGTGAGATATCATGTCCGCCAGAATGAGACGGACGGTCGTACGTACGGAGGCGTAAAAACAAAATACCACTTCATCAGGTGAGTAACTTTATCACAGAATCTGATACTGATGAGACTGACAGTGAAGCTGTAACATTTCCTACATTCTTACCTCGTCCAGAAGGACGTTACTTGGCAGCAGATGCACGTTGAGGCTTTGCTTCCGTGTTATTTGGTTTGGTGGTCGGAACAGCAAAACTTGGCAGCTAATTGGTTTCTTGTTGTTCAGAATCCTCAGTAAAAACTCCAAAGCCCAGACCAGGCCAAAGGAGGAGAGATGAGGGACTTTGACGATCACATGAGTGTCTGTGATCTCCAGCGGGTCGATGACGCTCATCCCATCATCAGTGATGTGGACGACAGACAGCAGACCTTCAGAGAGCAGAGCTGTGGAAACACAGAGACGTTCAACATCTGGTACAACAGCAGCGATCGTCTGATTCTACGTCTAGGAAACTTAGTCACTGAAGAATGAAACAGTTCACGCAATTCATCAAACAACTGTCGGAGGATGGGAAGCCGGTGAGGGATTGTGGCTGTGCTGCTGCAGTCAGTCAGGGTGACGTCCACAGTTAGACTGTAAATGTTACACTGTCTGGTTCATAATGAAACTAACAGACGTCTGAGCTCCATAGAGACATGATTGTGACGTCACAGTGTCGGGACGGATGTTTGTTGAGACTGTGGCTGTAATGAACCCTGCAGCCTACAGGGGGCACCAACAGGACTACAGAGTTTCATCATTGCTGTAACAGACACTATCATTTGCTCACCAGCCTTTGTTTCACAGTGTGGGAGGTGAAGCTGACGGACGGCATCCTCAGGACACTGGATACTGATCAGCGGCCCTGCAGCCGTCTTGCCAGCTGATTGGAGGAGGCTCTCGTCCCATTGGACAGTCCTGTAAAGCAGCTCCGCCTCCTGATCCACAACAAACACCAGTCCAGTTGAAGTACACTGGAACCCGCCCGGACCAGGACACCTGAACCTGTAGGACACAGAAGGCTGAATGAGCCCAGTGGACCTGTTACACTGAATCTGTCCACTTCATGAGAGACTAGAGGACGAAGGAGACAAACAAGCACAGCTGTTAAAGCTGACTGACAGCTGATCCAGCTGTGATCCAGCTGTGATCCAGCTGTGCTGTGGTCATCAGAAACTGTCGTCTCTTCACACAGTAACACATTGGCCACTGAAGGAGAGCGAGGGGGCGAGAGCCATGAGACCCCCCACACTCTGCTGAGGCTGAGGGAAGCTGTGGAGGAGGAACAAGGTAGTTTGTCTAAAACAGTGTTAAATGAGTTTATTACATGTTTACCTGTATGAGACTTGTGTAGATTCTCTTCTCAGTTCAGGTGTGAAGCTTGATGGAGGCTGTGATTCAGAGAGAAACAACATCAGATGTTGATCTACTACTATAATCAACTCGTGTTGAGTGAAGCAAACAAATATTCTCTGCATGGACTGACTGTCACAGGTGTGAGCTGCCGTCATCACTTACAGATTACTATCATTTACATCTGAGCGTTTGACGCAGCAGATTCTGCAGCCGGTGGAGGCTTCTGATGATCAGACATGAATCAATTATCAATTATGCCCCATTGCTATGGAACACACTACCTACAGATATCAGAAGACAGCTGCTAAATATCTGTAAAGAAACTTAAAAGCTGATCTCTTCACTTCAGCCTTTAACTAGAAGTGACTTTTCTGACAGGTCTGAAGTTTTGCACTTTGCTCTGCACTTCTGTTACAATGCTGTAACACTAGTCTCGATGTCAGATTGGTTGATAAATTCAGAAGAGACTGGTGTGCCCAGTGTAATCAAAACCTGTGAGACATTAAATCTGTCTGGAATATCAGGATACGATGGTTTTTCTCTCACCTTCATCGGCTTTGTGTCGTCCTCCATCTCCTCCGACTCGTCGTCCTCCGTCTCCTCCAGCTTTGTGTCGTCCTCTGACTCCTCTGACTCGTCGTCCTCTGACTCCTCCGGCTTTGTGTCTGCTGTGTTTGAATCCAGTTTGACGTCAGAGGCACCTGATGGGAGGAGAAGACACACGGCAGATGTCAGAAATCAGTTTTTGTTGATCTTCTCTTCATCAGATCCGAGTCAGAGATGAAGTCAGAGCATGTGAGTCCAACAGCAGCAGCTCAAAACCTCCTGTCATCACATTCCTCTCAGACACTCCTGGTTTTCTATTGGCTGTATGTCAACCAGAGAGGATGTGAGTTCACAATAATACTGACAGGACTGTCGAAACCACCATTTCAGACTGAACTGACAAGTCCAAGTCAGGACTGAGACTCAGACCAAGTGATACACAACAGTCCTGTTCCTGCACTAAGCTTTAACCAGCACAGAGTAGTTCTTCATCCTGTTATTTCAGAGTCTTTTCTGAAGTACTGCAGTGTTGCAGTAAACGCAGTAAATCCAGCACCGGTTCTGACTGGAAGGATCCAGATTCCCTCCAAGCAAACAGTCTGTAGTTCTCTAGGAGCCGAGCAGAGGTTTGTATTGACGACAGATTGATGAATAGCACACAGAGGTTCAGTACTCACAGGTTTTGTCTCTGGAGGCTTTAATCACCCTGTTCCTGCCGACCCTGTAGGAACAAACAATATGATCATGCCGGTAAAAGACTTTTAAAACCTTCTGGAGGTTTTGACGGTCCAGCAGCCGACCAGGATCTGAGCCAGAGTCCTGCACACACTACCAGACTGGATACCAAAACAAAGACCAGAGAAACTCAGATTACGTCACACACAGAGGGGGCGTGGCTTCATTCTCTGCTCAGGACGCCATTACTCCATTATATCTTTACATAGAAAGTAGTTGGTTGCTGCTGTGTTAATGTTTAAAATATAACATTAGTTCCTCGTTTGAATTAAGGTGGCGTCTCCTTCATCATATCTTGATCAGAAGTTGTTTTAATAGTTTAAGGTGGAGCTTTGGGCGGAGATGAGCACTTCTCTCCCTCACAGCCGGAAACTGAACCCTGTTAGCTCAAGTCAGAATAAACCTCCGTCCTCTCACTGTTGTGTCCCAGCAGTCTGTTCAGTCTGAGCTCCGTGCTGTCACAGGTAATAATGACTGCTGAGGATCCGACCACATTTCTACTCAATTCATTATGTGCAGTGGCTTTTCATTCATTCACTCATTGTCCTCATTTCATTTGAATACAGTATTTTGTCCACGTTGGGATCGTGTCAGTGTTTTTCCAGAGAGCTGATTGGCTGGTTAGAAAGTCTAATGTGATGTCTTGAATTAATCCTGCTTCAGGGCAGGTGAGCCTGTTGATGAACTTTTGTTACCATGGTGATGTACCACGCCACAAAGTGAGCCAGCATCTGTTAGACTGAAAACCAGAGTTAAACTCAGATTAAGATGAGGGACCCTGTTGGTATCCCTGATCTGCTCATGATAACTGACATCTGATTGGCTGACTGTTCTCTCTGTCTTTCTGTCCAATCCTGAAGCCTGTCATTGTTCTCCTCTCACAGCTTCACTGAGGAGTTTGGACGTTTACAGGAAACACTGGATCTTTGCTCTGATACTGAGTTTAGTACGACACTGCTGAAAGGAGAAGGGACTGACTCCGCCCCTCTACTGACCTCAGAGTCTCCAGTCGACAGTCTGGACTCTCCAGAAAACCACACAGACCCTTCACTCCTGAGTCCCGCAGGTCGATGTTGTTGCTCAGGTCCAGGTGTTTCAGGTGGGAGGGGTTGGACTTCAGAGCTGAGGTCAGAGAAGAACAGCTGATCTCTGACAACCTGCAGCGACTCAACCTGAATAAAGAATAAAAGATGTATGATGAATGATATACTTTATTTATCCCCAAGGGGAAATCCATGTGTCCAGTATCTCATTGGTAATAATCATAACAGTTCATTAAAAATAAAAAATAATAAATTAGTCCACTTCAAGATAAATTACATTTAGTAAAAGTAACAGTCAGTGAACTGACCTCAGAGTCTCCAGTCGACAGTCTGGACTCTCCAGAAAACCACACAGACCCTTCACTCCTGAGTCCCGCAGGTCGTTCCTACTCAGGTCCAGGTGTTTCAGGTGGGAGGGGTTGGACTTCAGAGCTGAGGCCAGAGAAGAACAGCTGATCTCTGACAAACTGCAGCTGATCAATCTGAATAAAGAATAAAAGATGTAGATAAAATCATTTGATAATCGATCACATATGTCCTAATCAATGATCTTTGTCTAAAATGAGCAGAATGACAGAATGACTATATATATGTATATATATATATACGTATATATATATATATATCAGCCAGTATCGGGAGAGTTCAACAGCCCCAGTCAGTGAGCTTACATCAGAGTCTCCAGCCTACAGTTTGGACTCTTAAGTCCAGCAGAGAGCAGCTTCACTCCTGAATCGAGCAGTTTCTGGTTGTCACTCAGGTCCAGCTCTTTCAGATGGGAGGGGTTGGACTTCAGAGCTGAGGCCACGACTTCACAGTGAGTCTCTGAGAGTTGACAATCAGTAAGTCTGTGGTAAGAGAAAATATAAAATCTGTTACAATAAAATCAGACAATTTGTAATAAAAACAGTTCTATGCTCCTACCCTTCTTGTACTTGCTCAAGTGTCTCTTTTTGGCTGATTTACCGCTTGGTTTTTCATTTTCCTTATTCTGTAGAGAGGGCAGTCCAGGCATTTATATTCATTAACATAGTAAAATAAGGGCAGAGAGAGGGTGGAGTGTGGTATTTGTTCATGTGCGTTGATTGGGATCCTGCATGCACACAGTTTCATACATCTGAATTCTTTGGTTTCCAGTTTCGTACCTATGCCATGTTTCAATATGAATTCTACGCACAGCTTTGTACATGAGGGCCCTGGAGAGTGGAGTCCTGCTTTAATTTGATTCATCAGGCTTGCATGAAACCAAAAAGACTCAAAACAACAGAGGCTTAACAAAAGAATGTAGAATATGACAACTGATTAAAAATATAGAGTTTCATTAACTTAAAATAAGTAATCCAACGGAAAAAAACACAATTTAGTGTAAGGTTTTTGATGTAAAACTAAGAAGGAAAGGATATTGTAAGTAATCTAATTTACCGATCAATAATTGTTTTGATCATGTCTGGACTCACCGAGCCTTCCTGCAGTTCCTCACAGCTGGGATCAGTCTCAGTCGTCCCTCTTCTGATGTGTTGTACTCATACAGGTCCAACTCGTCCAGAACCTCCTCTGACATCTGCAGCATGTAGGCCAGAGCTGAGCAGTGGATCTCAGAGAGTTCCCTCTCTGATCTGTTCTCTGACTTCAGGAACTCTTGGATCTCCTGATGAACTGAGTGATCCTTCATCTCCATCAGACAGTGGAAGATGTTGATGCTTCTGTCAGGAGAGATATCATCTCTGTTCATCTCCTTCAGGTTGTTGATGGCTCTCTGGATGGTTTCTGGACTGTTCTCTGTCTGACCCAGCAGACCTCCTAAGAGTCTCTGGTTGGACTCCAGAGAGAGGCCATGAAGGAAGCGGACAAACAGGTCCAGGTGACCATTTCTACTTTGGAGGGATTTCTCCATGGCTGCCCTCAGGAACTTATCCAGGGTTAAACCACTGAGACTGGCAGAAAGTTGAGCATCACCATGAGCACCATCATCTTCATCACCACCACCACCATGAGCACCATCATCTGCATCACCATGAGCACCATCATCTGCATCACCATGATGAGCACCATCATCTGCATCACCATGAGCACCATCATCTGCATCACCATGAGCACCATCATCTGCATCACCATGAGCACCATCATCTGCATCACCATGAGCACCGTCATCTGCATCACCATGAGCACCATCATCTGCATCACCATGAGCACCATGAGCACCATCATCTGTATCACCATGAGCACCATCATCTTCATCACCACCACCACCATGAGCACCGTCATCTGCATCACCATGAGCACCATCATCTGCATCACCATGAGCACCATCATCTGCATCACCATGAGCACCATCATCTTCATCACCACCACCACCATGAGCACCGTCATCTGCATCACCATGAGCACCATCAGCACCATGAGCACCATCTTCTTCATCATCACCACCATCAGCATCATGATCACTTTCACCATAATGTTGATCATCGAAATCATCATCATCATGTTCATAATCAAAATCATCATCACCATCATCATCATCATCATCATCATCATCACCATCAAAATCATCATCATCACCATCATCATCATCATCATAATGTTCATCATCACCATCATCATCATCACCATAATGTTCATAATCATCATCATCATCATCATCATCATCACCATAATGTTCATAATCATCATCATCATCATCACCATAATGTTCATAATCATCATCATCATCATCATCATCATCACCATAATGTTCATAATCATCATCATCATCATCATCATAATGTTCATCCAGCACCTCTGTCTTCCTGTTGTCAAAGTTCCAGTGTTTCCTCAGGAAGTTCTCCAGGACCTTTCTCTTCCTGTTGCTGTAACAGTGGAACATGTAGACTGCAGCCAGAAACTCCTGAACGCTCAGATGAACAAAGCAGTAGACNCCATGAGCACCATCTTCTTCATCATCACCACCACCAGCATCATGATCACTTTCACCATAATGTTGATCATCGA